CTAAGTTATTCGTTAAGAATTATTTGCAAGAACTAAATTCTTCAGGATCCTAGTGATCTAAGGATCCCTGTATCACAAAAACAATTATGCAGGATGATCAAAGGGAAGATATATAAAGATAACACAACCATTGCATTCAAAAGGGGTCATACACTAACCCAACCCGAAGTTAATTGTTCTACATCATTAACTAAAACCAAAAAGCTATCCTAACTAAATTTTTTGCAGACCTAGACCTTATCTTGATCATCATCAGTCGTGTTCTTCTCCTTTTCCTCCTCTACACACTTGGACCCAAGATCCTCAATGGCAGTGGCCGGTTTGCCATTTATTTTGGCTAGTGCCTCATGCTAACCAGCTATGTTCCAGGATCCTGAATTAATGAGATCCTCAAGCAGCTTAGTCTTGGCCTCCCAGATAGCAAACGTCGCGCTCGCCTTTGCATCAACAATCACCTCCTTAATTTCCAGGATGTGTTCATCCTCCTTCTCTCCCTTTTCCTTGACCAGCAACTCGCTCAACCTCTTCAGCCTTGATCCTTAGATCAGTCACAGATTGGTAGAAATGAGCAGAAACCTAAAATAAGTATGGTGTTAATAGAAACAAATGGAAATCGGAAACTAATTTCATACAAACACTTACTGCTTGGGAGAAGGAAAGCAACTTTTGAAGTGATTCTTCAGCTCCTACATTCTCCAAGTTGAGATCCGTGGCCTCTGAGGTCTTCCTCTTACGGGAACTTGGGGCCTTCACGGTGAGATCAATGAGAGGTTTCTTAGGGAGAAGAGGCAGGGCAACTTTCTCTCTTTTGACTGCAATCAGACCACAAGACACATCATCATCGAGGTCAGATGAAGCAAATAGAGCATTGGGACGAGAAGCCTTGGATCCTACACGCCGCACAAGATCATCATTAATACATGATTTTCATTCAGGATCTTCATTGATTACAAATTCCAATATAAAATATAAAGATCTTATAGGTTGCCACTAATGTAGTGGTAGATGAGCCTTCTTGAAGACTGAGATAATCGAGCCTGAAAGACGTATCTGCTGCAGGAACAACGAAAAGCTTCTCTATCTTTTCTTCATTATCCTCGGCAACAAGAATGAGTTCTTCGAACCAAAAAGCTACAAAACAACAAACAAGATGATGAAAGATGAATCCCAGGATCCTCAATATAAGGAAATATTGGTCCTACCCTTTTTAACCCAGGTCTTTGGTAAGGAATCCCTACCAGGAATCGAGTCACATGTCACAAAGAAATATTTCTCCTTCCAAGCATCGTCGTTTTGTTTCGTTTCCAGAACAAAAGGGGTTGGCGAGGTTTAAGGCTCATAAGAAAACGGGAATTCCCAAAGGTAGCAAGATCAGATACGTGAGCCAACTCAAATAGACCTATATCTATACCTCTGGACAGGTTCAATTTCTCAATCCAAAACAAGACTCTCCAGACAATGGGCATGACCTGGATGTAAGAAATTTGAGTGATTTCGAAGAACTTGGAAATAATCCCGGGAAAGGGATATTTCAAACCTAAGTCGAAGGGATACCCAAAAAAGCACACCCAAGAAGAAGAAGCTAAGTCAGGTTGGAGTTTTGGATCTAAGGGTTTAAAGACAACTTCGTTAGAGAAAGTACCAACTGTTTTCAAGGACTCGATATCATCGTCGTCGAAAGAACAAATCTCATCGTAGGATAAGATCATGTGCTCAATGAAATCATCCCCAGAGGACACGAGGATGTCCTTGCGAGATACAATCATCTTCTTGTGCATTGTTATTGAAAGAGAAAAGTAATGAGAGGAGGAGAGAAATGTACCTTCAAAATGACTAAATAAGAGCTTAAAGATGAACGAAGGAGTAGCCCTACTCGATTTCCTTTATTTAAGCTAACGACAGAAGAAAGAGAAAGAATGATTAGACCGGCTATGATGATTTCGAATGGATAAATCCTATCCATTAGGGGTTAAATTAAAAAATTACCCTTATCTATCTCTTCATTTATTAATTTACTTTAATTTATTCCTTTAATATTATCGAAACTAACTCACTTATTTTTAGGAATAACTTGGGGGCAATTGTTAGGGCTAGGATCCTGGAACTGCTATAAGATCTTCAAGTCCAAGGATCCTCAAAGACTTAGGATCCTCAAACCTTAGGATCCCAAATATACTCTAGGATCCTGACTAATATATTATTATTATTAATAATGAACACATATTCTCTTGTCTTTCTCACATGTGCAGAAATACCTAGTCAAAGTCATACACACCACAGATAGTCATCAGAACTATGCAAAAGACCCGGCAGACCAATTCAAGCAAACCACTATAAGTAATCTAGGAGGATCTCGGAATTCTCGGAGTTCTAGTTGTTAGGGTTTGACTATATAAAACACTTGTAATCGTCTCACTACACACGATATTCTCTGGCATAATACTATCACTTGTCCTCACACTCATTCCATTTTCTCTGTAATTTTCATTTCAATTAATAAAAACATCAAGGCAGGTGATCATTATCACCTCCCAAGGTTTTATGATGTAGATCCTAACAAGGATCAAGGGCTTTCCTTGTAAACGATTTGTGTTGCTTTGATTCATTTTACTTATTTGCATTACATTGAACATCACGACCTTTCATACACTTTGGTCAATTTTAGTTCAATTATTTTTTGACTAAAACACTACCTGTCAATATTCAAGGCCCCTCATCGTATCTAGTAAGGAATAGAAAAGTTAAGATGAAGATTTTTATGGTGTGGGGATGAGGATAAACGAAAGATTTATTGAGTGAAATTGCAGAAGGTGGTTGCGGAAAAGAAAGTAAGATGTCTGGGGGTTGGTTCTCTGCTAGCACAAAATATAGTTCTTCTTACTAAGGGCATCCACAATGCATTGAACTCAGTAGAGTTCAATGGATTGTCATATCATTTTTCTACATTTCATACAACTCGATCAATTTTTTTCTTACAATGCATTCAACTCAACAAAGTTCAATAGAAAGTTACAAAACTAATTTATAATATGTATTTAAGATTAGAAAACATTCTTTTTTCTCATTGGAGAGTTCAATGGTCATTGGACTACAAATTCATTGAATGTCAATATGACATCTCATTATGGTAGACTTTCATCCCTTGAATGACAACTAGACTTGTCACATCATTCAACTCTCCCATTGAACTAATGACAGTGGATACTCTAAATGTTGGTGGTGTCTCAAAAATGAAATTGGCTGCTTGTGGACTAAAATAATTGATAGCATACATAATTTAAAAAAATAACCTTCTAACTACCTTGTTAGAAAACACTCAACAGCTATACAGAGCCTTAATCGATTCAATGTCGACTTTAACAGCCTTTTATCGTTTGGTCCGGGTTTTAATATTAAAATTTTGTTTTGGAAGGACGTGTGGTGTGGAAATACTCCTTTAGAACTTTGTTACCCTAAACAATACAGGTTTGAACCCGTCAAGAAGTGCACCCTGATTGACCGGTTAAGTTGTAATGGTTTCTCTTGGAAATGGAAAAAAAAACATTTGTCATGTGAATTATTACTTGAATTTCGTGAATTTTACTCTCTATTTTGCTCTCAGAATCTTGATCTCCATTTAAGATTTGGTTTTCGATTCAACTTACATGTGGATGAGACATACTTGGTAAACATCTTGAGGCGTTTGATAGACTCCAAACAATTTCAATCGACAGGTCCTCAGATTTGCTGGTTAGAACATATACCCCTTAAAGTCAAATGTTTTGTTTAGAGGGCAGTTTTGGACAGAATCTCGGTGGTAGCTTCCCTTGCTCACAGGGGCATTATCGTCTAACTTCCCAATTGTCAATTTTATGAGTCTGATATCGAGACCACCAAACATAATTTGGTGGATTGCATGTTTTCTAAAATAATTTGGTATTGGATTTTTAGATGGTCTGGGATACAACATTCATATTTTACAAATGTGAAAGACTTCTTGGGGCGACTCTATGTTTGACATTTTTCTCTATGATACGAAACCTGTGGATTGCTACAAATAATAAAATTTTCAATAGGATCAATGTCTCACAAAGAAGAGTGGCGGACCTCATTTGAATGGTGCAAATATAGGGGCAATATGGACAAAAGATGGATCGATTACAGTTATTTTCCGGCATGTTTTTCCAATTTCATTTATGTACTGTCTATGTTTTTTATCGTCCCTCCTGAGTTTCTTGGTAATGGGTGGGCTGGTTTTATTAACATAATTCTATCTGGTGTTTCAAAAAAATAAATAAATAAAACTAATATCAACTAATAATTAAACATAAGTAAAGTCCGTAAAGTTTAATTAAAAACATAGAAAGCGTTTTCAAAATAAAAATATAGCATCTTTTAACGCACATAAAGCATTACATGAGCAAATGCGTCAAAGCCTAACATTAAATACTTTTGTACTCGTAGCTTTACTAATATGGTCGACTTCTTCTTTCTTAAGCCTGAAAAAAGTTTGACTTTGAATGTTGAAACTAAGAAGACCCAACGCTTATCAAAAGCCGTACGTCCAGTGCCAGGCTGCCAGCTATCTATTACAAGAAAAAAACGGAAAGAGACCAATGTAACGCAACACACTCAAATCTAGAATAGATGAAATTGCGAAAAACAACTCCAAACACGCATCCTTTTCCTTTTGCCAGATAAATTTTTCTAAAGTGGTACATAAAAATCCATCTAAACCTTCTTTAGAATCATGAACATTTCGGTTAACAACCACGACCCTAAATAAGTTGAGAACAACTCAGGAAATCGCACTTAAAACTCATGATACACATGTTAAACACTAGATCGATTGATTAGTCAAGTTGGAAATTAACGAGAGGTGGTTATACCATGTTCTGTGCCTACGTTATTGTCTACTCCTAGACTTCATATGTGTCTTCTATATATCCACCTCAACCCTTGGATTGATTCACCGGGGTATATCATCTCTCAATATTCCCCTTGTTTCTCATATAAATTCCATGTTCACCCCGACTCCAACATATACCAGCAAGACTTGTACAACAGCTAAAAAAGAAATGGCTCGAAACAAGTCTCAGAAGAAGTCCTTCTTTTCCTTCTTCAGTAACTTTAGGTTCAAGAAGGGTAGAAGGGGAGCTGATGAGGCTTGGGATGACTCCATGAAGGCTTATAAAGTGTATCCAAGTGATCAAGACAGAGCTGGACAATGGGCAGATCCTCGTATTGACAGCAAAGCATCAGCTTATATTCATGAAAGGACCAACAGATGGAACAACGTAGAGGTATCAAGCTGATTAGTCACGGTTTAGAGGAAACGACGATAGATGCTCTTTTATTATACATTCGTTAATATTTTTGTGTTAAGATTGCATATATCTTATAACTAGTTTGTGTGTTTATATTTTTTTATAACAAGACGAATCTTGTTTATAACTCTTCTTAGATATCTTTCCGTGCATGTTAATTCATTCAAACCCAGAAATGCATCATTCACACTCAAAAATATCCTTGTCACAATAATCAATTATAATCAAAGGACCACAACATTTCAGAAAAATCCAAATGATAAACATAACCTGTGGTCGAAGAACAAGTAGAGGAGTTTGTAATAAGGTCATGGCAAGCACGGCAAAACTAACCCAACGTCAATGAGACCCAAATTCCATCGATTAAGGCGCTGAGTATACCATTTCCAGTTAATTTTTATTCATTAATGTTATGTACGTAAATCGCATGAGGATTTTTGCTAATACCTTTGATAATTTAGATAGTAATTTTGAAGCATTATTATTTGATTAGGATTTATGAATTCTGGCTAAATTAAACCTATTAAAATTAGAAGCGTAGTTGTGTTGGATAATACTTTTCCACGTTTGGCCAATCGATCTATATATCAGCCACTAGGAAGAGTGCATCTTATTATATATCAAAATTATTGTTCTCAAAATTCCAAAATGGTAAACCTTATAGAATGTTATAACCAAGTCGGCTACAATAATAAAATCAAAAAGAAATGATACCACTCCATACTCGCTACAAGCATCCAAACATCGTTAGTTTTGATTGCGGGAATTGCACTACTCCCGCCGACTACAACACAAAGCAGCACGTGACCGAAAAAACTCCGTCCCTAAATACCGACATATTTCATATGGAACTCCAGAAATTGTAAAACCATTATTATAGAGACATTATGATGGCCTAGTGAAGGATTACGGAATAAACCCATAGGTAATCAATGGTATTTTAACAAGTTCAAGTAATCTTATATACTATTTGAATAATTGTTCACCACAAGTAAAACGAATATAATTTATAAATGTTCAATCAGTAACCCGTTGATAATTAAAGATGGTTAACAACAAATGTTTTTATTTAAAAATATCGTTCGAAGAAAAAAAATTAAATTTAATAATAATAATGAATTATTATTATTATTAATTTCGTGAGTAATACTATTAAATTGTTATCTTCAGTTTCTTTATTGTTATTACGGTTCTTGTTTTTACTATGGTACTGGAAAAATTAAATGGAACGTGGGTTAATTTTTGGATAATCAAACTATTATAAAAAAAGATAAATTACATGAATGACCCTTGTGTTTTTGATAGTTTGGACTGTTCTTAACTTTATTTTTTAATTCGGATCATTCCTCTTATTTAGTTTTGCTTAATGCTTAAGCCTTAGGAAACCTATGAAATTACTGTTATACCCTTTTCTCGTCTTTTTAAGTTTTTTGATTATTGGTTTTAAAGTTCAAATAATATATAAAAACTCTAGGGACTACTTCTGTAATTTACATGAAAAGATGAATAATAAAACCAACCCAATTCATCGATTGATTCCTTATATTCCTTAGCGGATTCAAGATTTCCGATTGCCTAAATCCATAAACGTCGTCCTGTCAATGCAACTCATTGCTTCGTCCAACAATCCCTGATCTTGCCACCGTTTCATATCATCACTGGCGACCCCTTCATGTGAAGCACACCATTGAAATCGGTGATACATCAACCCATTGTCAAGCCAAGCTGTTTGAAATCCCGTAAATCGGAGTCATCATGTTTGAACTCTCTATTCTTCACCACCAACGGAGCTTCAAAAACTTCGTGAATCTTTTAATTTCGTTTTTTTTTTCATACATTGGATGATGTTGTTCTTTGTTTGTATGTATCTTTTCAGATCTAAAATTAATTTCATAGAAACTCGTATGGAAACACTAAAAGGGAAACAATGATGTTGTTCCAGTTTTGATTTTGGTTTGAATTTTTGTTAGAAATATGGGATGAACAGATTGCTTGAATTCTCTGAAAGTTGTGATTCACTATCAAATTGAAGTATTTCATTGGTACAAAGTGAACACTCAATTGGACAAAATTCAGAGATACGAAATCAGAGAATGTATGTGAAAATGTTCTTCACAAAGATGTATCAGAAAAATGACCAAAAACAGCTATATGATTCCTGTCTAAAAACTATCACCAGACAGTTACAAACTGTCATCAAAACTACCAAACCTGTCATTAAACGGATCTTAGGGAAAAAGGGTCAACTTTCTAAAAAAATGGATTTTTGATGCAGCTCGACCCCAGCCAGGGGCTCTGCCCCTTGGACCCCGCTGCTAGGGGAGCTGCCCCCGAACCCCCATTCGTTTAGGGGATTCGCCCCTAAATAACAGTGTACTTTGAATCTTGAAAAATTTGAACAAGTATGCACTCCTACACCATCCTACCTTGTTCAATATTCAACAAGATCACTTTTGGTCAACAAATTTAATTCTGTTACACTTAAATAATATTGATGATATAAAATCACCAACAAACCTACCCCATTTAAGTGTAATCCTAATTAAACTTAAAGCAAAACATAAAACAACAAGAAATTGATGCATAACTGAAATGTTGTGACGATTGAATTTAACATTAGTATATTATTCAATCCGAATATTCGAATATCCGAGTGTCACTAAGGATTGAACCCTTTCTATTCAAAGTGAATAAATGAAGATAATACACACACCAGTTTACATTCTCATAATTTCTAACTTGACACTATATTTTACTAGCTTGTGTCCCATCCTTCAATAAACATATCAAAGTCAAGTCGAAACCTCTTGAAGCAGCCCAACGTCATGCTTATATAGGTAGTTCTTTTGTTCTTGCACCTGAAAATGCAATTTTTCAAAGAACTATTAACAAATAAAATTTTAACCTCCTTAACCTACAGTACTGAACATATACCGTGGAATGATGATTATTGTCACAACCCAAAATTTCTATCTTGTAAAATCAATCAATTCAATCAAAAGTCTGACTTGTTTCTGTTACCTTTATGTTGTGTTAAGGGTCTGTTTGAGAGTTTGTAAGCCTAGTACACTCAAGTATTATGTGTTAGGAAGTGTTAGCTTGAGATCATTGAGTTGCAATCGAGCCAGAAACACCATCAAAAGTAGTTCACGGCCGCAACTAGGTTCACGGCCGTGAACCCATCTTTGGGCCGTGAACAACCCTTATATATATAAAGTTCGCTCATTTTTCTTCACTTCTTCAACTCTAGCCGTGAACATCTCATTTCTCTCTCAACTATATTCAACCGTGATCACTTCTAAAGGCCTAAAAAACGTAAGTATCTCATCCATCTTCATGTTGTCCCTTAGAAACACTTGATTCCACCCATGATGCAAACACTTCTTTGCAAAGATCTTCAAGAGTTCACGGTCGTGAACCCTTTATAGGGTCGTGAACCCTTCATAGATTCAAGATAAGACCGTGAACCCTCCACCTTTGGCTGTAAACCCATCATTGGATCAAGCTTGGGCCGTGAACACATCATGTGTTCTTAGGTCGTGAACCCTTCTAAGGCCGTGAACACCCCTTGTTTGGCCGTGGACACCTTTCAACCATTCATTTGTGATTCTAACACTTCATTAAAAGTGTTTCCTAGTTCCTAAGGTTGTTTCCCTAACTTGTTAGTTGTTATATACACTAATTGTATACATATATGTGTTATTATATGCTTAAAATGATCCTTTTGTGCTCGAGACTTCACTTGGCATACTTAGCATCCTATATCGATATTTCATTCGAATCACTCACTACTGGTGATTTCATACCCCTACAAATATACTTTGATATGCTTTTAAATGCTTTCAGGGGGGATACAAGTAGAACACAATGAAAATTATGTTAACCATTTACATGTGAAAACAACATCCCAAAAGGATTTCTTATACTCAAAAACTTGTTAAAACTCTTTTAAATTTATTTAGACTTCTGTTATATCAAATCATATTTGTCTATCTATTTACGTATAAGTATGCTTTAATAGACTTACGACTATTGCTAGATACCTTGACTCTTGTTCCTTGTTTGGTTGTGGGCTTGGATAGGATCACTAGTCCGAATGTCGGTTAAATCATAGTTATACTTATTAAATACATATATGAATATTAAACCCATTTGTAAGGTACATACTTAACTTAGTTGCTTATGGTAAGTAATTGAGTCTTTTCTTCAAATCAGTAACAGTCAAACAATCATACTAGTAAACTATAATAGGTATAGTTTAGAGGATTACTACTTAATACTTCTAAATTAGTGAAACTTACAGGAGTCAGTTCATACATGAGTCAGTTCGTACATGAGTCAGTTCATACATACTATAACTAGAACAAAAAGGAACATACATACTATAACTAGAACAGAAAGGAACATCCACGCTATAACTAGAACAGAAAGGAGCATACATGCTATAACTAGAACAGGAAGGAACATACATACTATAACAAGAACAAGATAACAATAATGTAGGCCACTACTTCATGGCATAGCAATATACTTGTTCTGTCACATTTTGTAACCAGAGTCTTCTGGAGGGAGAGCGTGATTTTGTGTATAGATCTATACGGGATTGACCATCCTACACCTTGCTGCTAGCTACAGTGGGACCTGGAGGTCTACAGGTGACAACTGTCATACCATTTCGACGTCTTTAGATCGTCATCTGTTATTCTAGTTAATCAAGCATGGTTATAATCTCATCACATTTTACCTTAATTTAAATTATTGGTTTTAAGGTAGTTAGTACTTTAGTAGTTATTTTATACAATACTACTGTACATCTTCATTTTTCCCATTACGTTCATATAGTGATATTCTCACATCGGGTAATGCAAACTATTTTCTAGTAAATATGGTCATAAACTTGGGAAAACATACATTTTTACGAGAGAACAAACTTACAAAACAGTCGGGTCTTGGTAGAAGACTACTTTCCATTTTAGTAGAAAATATAG